TCCCCCTGCTCCTGCCACGTGGGCTTCCCGCGTCCACGGGACCGGGAGACGCAGGCGCGTGCGCGATGATGCTGGGGCCGTGGCGCTTGTGCAGGCTGAGCAGCAGGCCTGGGGCCCGAGGAGAGAATGGCAGGAAAAAAAAGGCGAGCAGAGAGGAAAAGTGCTGGCTCCCCGGCCCAGTGGCCTCGCGCACACGCCCTGGGGCGGCCGGGCTCCACCCTCTGCTGTTGGGGTTCGAGTTTTCCTGCTCAGGGATCTCTGCCACCTCAATCCCAGTCGGCTAACAGCTTTTTAAAAATATATTTTTATTGATTTCAGAGAGGAAGGGAGAAGGAGAGAGAGAGAAACATCTATGATGAGAGAGAATCACTGATCAGCTGCCTCCTACACGCCCCACACTGGGGATCGAGTTGCAACCTGGGCAGGCGCCCTGACTGGGAATCGAACCCTGACCTCCCAGTTCATAGGTCGATGCTCAACCCCTGAGCCATGCTGGTGAGGCTGGATAAGAGATTTTGCCTGGACCCTCACGATGTTTCAGCCATAGTAGCCCTGCGTCCTGGCTCCCCCTCCTCGAAGGATAAGGGGGAGCAGCTGTACCCCTAGGCCCCGCACGCAGACCCTGGGATGGATACAGCCCTAACTCTCAGTGCGCTGGGCTCAGCCCATCCAGGAGGCTGTGGAAGGGAGGCAGCTCCAGGGGTACGAGGAGCCCTGGGGAGGGGACCTGCAGTCCAGGAAGCACCCCCGCAGCACAGTTAAGCTCCATTAAGCAGTTCCCTTTGCAGGACTTCTCAGAGCCTTTATCGTGCTAATGAGCACTGTGGATTCCTGAGACAGACTCTAGTGTTTTCCAATGGGATTCTTTAAAGAGAAAGGAGGGAATAGTAACAACAGGGTCCGAACAGTAAGACAGTGTCGCTAAAGCGCATCTGGGAGGTGCTGGCCCAGGTGATGCCTCGCGCAGACGTCCACGGGGGCTGCTGTGCCCGGCGCCGTGCTCAGGCGTGGGAGGGCGGCAGTGAGCAGAGACCAGCACCCCTGTCCTCACGGCCTCGTGTCCTATGGGAGGGGCAGGAGGGGAGGAGGGTAAATGACATGCCAGTCAGTGGGGATTCTACGGAGAAAGACGAGTGAGGAGGTGCGTGGTGCTGGCCCCATGGGCTCTGGGAATGCTGCCCCCTGTCCAGGGCCCGGGTGCCCCCGTGACTGGAGGGTGGGCCTCGCACCTGCCTGGGGAAGAGGGAGCGGACAGTGTGAGGCCGCAGGCACCTGGGCGGGGCTGTGTGGTCTCTGTCATCTGCGCCCTGCAGCCCCTGGACGCCGCCCGCCCACCGCGCCTGTGGCCTCAGCACTGCAGTCACCAGCCCTGGTCCTGCCTGCCCTGGCAGCCCTGCGGGAAGGAGTCGCCAGGAGGCCGCCTCCTGCCTTCCTGCCCCTGTCACTGTTCCTTTTCCATCTGGACGCGTCCTCCCCGCCCAGTGTGGGAATTGGCAGAGCTGGCGCGTCCACACGTGTGTCACTCTCTCTGGCAGCCCCGCCGCCTCAGCCTGGCCCGGCGCCCGCACCTGCCTGCTCTGGGGCACAGCTCTGTGCGTCTCTGCTTTCCTTCCCGTGGGTGTGGGCCTGCTGCCCGGAGCATCCTCGTCCGCACCACGGGCTCCTGCCTGCACAGAGCTTAGGCAAATGACTCACTTGCTGCCTTGCCTACTGTTTAGTTGTTCGTTCATTCCCTCACTTATTCATTCACTCGTTCATTCATTCCCTCACTCATTTATTCATTCATTCACTCACTCAGTCACTCATTCATTCACTCACTCATTCATTCTCATTCATTCATTCATTTATTCACTCATTCACTCGCTCACTCATTCACTCACTCACTCAGTCACTCATTCGCTTATTCATTCATTCACTCATTCAACAACATTTATCCCACACCTTCTAAGAGTCGCTGAGGAACGTGGTGGTGATGAAGGTGGGGTAGTGGCTGCTCTCAGAGCCTGTGGCTGGGGGTGGGGGGAGCGTGAAATGAGCTGTTTCCCCGCTAAGGGCTTTGGTCCATCAGGAGGTGCTGTGGTAGGAAACTTCCCAGAGGGTCCTTGAACCTTGACCATATGCGGCCACGGGGGGGTGGGGGGGGCAGTGTGTGACCCAGGGCAGCAGAGCTGGGACCGTGATCTCCCAGGTTTGGCGGCCCAGCCCTCAGGTGTGGTCCCGTCCCGGCTGCAGTGGGTGGAGGTCTGGGTCCCTTCTACGCCTGAAACCTCTCCCCATGCATGGGTGGGCTTCATGGGGGGAGGGCCCCCAGGGACTGGGTCCTGGCAGGTGGGCTCACGGGCCTCCTCTCCTCTCTCCACAGCCGAGTGCGGCGCCGGCCTCTGTTTTAACGGTGGCAGCTGCGTGCCCGGCTCCGCCCAGCTGTGCCGCTGTCCCCCAGGCTTCCAGGGTGCCCGCTGCCAGCACGGTGAGTGCAGCCTCCACCAGGCTCCGGGGCTCGGCCGTGGGCGGGGGGCACAGTGTGGGGGAGACCCTGGGTGACTGTCATTCTCCAATGCCCACCCCCCGCGCCCCACAGCCCACCCGAGGTCGTGAGAGGAGGGGGTGACTCTGAGACGCCTCTGCACCCCATAACTTAGGGCCCCCTGTTTGGCCATGCCTCTGTGGGTGGGGCAGCAGGTGCAGAGAGGGCAGGGGCCGGCGGGGTCGCGGGCAGGTCAGGATGGGCTCGGCCCCAGGTCTCTGAGCTGCCCGCTTGCCTCGCCGGAGCCTCCATGTCCTTAATGTCAGAGGGTGGGGTTCCGGGGGTCCTGCCTGGGCGGTGGGTGGAGGAAACGGTGCACGAGACGCTGAGGCCTGATGCCCGAGGAAGCCAGCATTTGGGGGAACGTTGGGGGGCGCTCAGGCGCGGACGGGCTCACAGCGAGCGTGGGGGGGACGGCGTTTTTGTGGGGTCATGCGCATGAAGAGCTGTCGGAGCACCCCACTCACCGTGACAGCCACGTGCTGGGGCGGGGCTGGCTCGGGTGGGTTCCCGGGCTTTGAACTTGCTTCTGGGAGCCCCTGGGGCTCCTTCCGGGTGGACGCCGGGCAGACATCCTGAGAGGAGCGTCCACCCTCCCGACGCCCAGCAGGCAACCGGGGGATCAGGAAATTGTGGGGAGCGG